CACAAAGCTCTAACCTTAGTGGGACTGTTCCTCAGGAGATATCAATGTGTCTTTAAGAAAAACCTGGCCAAAAGGCTGTGGAAAGCAGGAGTGAAGCACCCTCTGAAGACCTCACCACGGGCCAGGAGCCTGGAGCTGGAGCCTGCAACGGGGAAAGGCTGTGCACTGTAACAGACGGAGCCAGGGCCCAGGTATGAGTACCCTGCAGAGGAGCAGGAACACTGGGGACAGTCACAGAGCACTAGGCTACCAGCACCACCTGAGGGCATTTTCCAGCTCTGGAAGGAACCACAGCATAGGCGGTGACACAGCATCACTGTGTCTGTGATCTGATTGTATGGCCTGAACAAGACTGTGTCAGAAAATTATGTGCTGACAGAAGACTATGCGCCAATGCTCTGGCTCATCCTTTCCAGCAGCTGGAAAGGATGAGCCAGAGCAGTGGCACTGAGAGCCTGTCCCAGTGCCCTCAGAGATCCCACAGCACTACAGCACCTGCCGTATATCTCCCACCTTCCTCCCCTATGCTCTGTTTGCTCTTTCTCCAGTACTGATCTATTTCTGCTCTGCAGCATTCTGTATCCACAACCTTCTAGAAAATGCTGCTATGGCGATTCCTTCTGCTGTAGCCTCAGGTCAGTGTTTAGCAGCCCCTTCCTTTTCTGATCAAAGCACACATAACTTCACAAGGTGTGCAGGACTTCAGACATTTGCACCACAGTGTCCAGAAAGCTCGCTCCTAAGGAGACACATAGCATGGCCACACAGATGAGTCAGTTCACATCAGCCCTACTTGAAAGTAAGTTGAAACACAGAGGGAGCAGATTAAGGAAGAGTAGAGGTTTGTCTTTTCAAGGATACATTTCCCTGTTAGCTTCAGGAATGGGATTTAGCGACATTTGTAAGGAGAGAGAGCCTTCAGCGAAAGGCAAGCTGAATTTCCTGACAACGAAAAACCAGAGGCCCTAGCCCTCTCCTCACTGCATCCTCAACTTACCGTTGTCTCTTACTCCAACTAGGAAGACGATGACTTGAAGGATGGGTTGGAGCTGCTACTGGAGATGTTCCCAGCCTGTACCGTGAGCCAGGCAGAGAAGGCTCTTGCCATGGCCTTGGGGAACTTGGAGGAGGCAGTGCAGTTAATTGTGGAGGAGAAGGTGGAAATTGGCCCATCAGGTGTGAGTGTGAAGGTACTGTACTCTGACCTGGGTGGCAGTGGGCCAAGGAGCAGAGCAGAGCTCAGGGGACACAGGCATCGCAGCTGTCTCCCACAAGCAGGAGCTTTGACTGCACAATGAGCCAGGAGGATCACCCAGAATAACAGCCTCTCTCCCTCCCCTGGCTCTGTTAGTATTAGGCTGTGCCCACAACCAAGCAGCCCAGTGGAGGTGTGGCTGGCACCACTTTCCCGCAGAGGCTGGAGTGCTCCACCAGCAGCTGGGCTCACCAGGCTAGCAGGGGGTAACTGTATGCTCCACATGTTGTGCTGTTCATACACCCACCTTGTCTCCTCCCAGGAACTGGCACGGCCCCGCAGAACACCCAACCACGAGGAACTAAAACAGGTTATCCTACAGAAGTAAGTACCCAACAGCAAAGAACCCCTCATTTTGCTCCCCGTAAAGGAGGAGGTGGCAGTTTGGGGAACAATGTGGTCTGTAAAGAACTTGGGCTGCAAGATGCTCAGTAAGGAGGCTGTGAAACTGATTTGGGTATAGCTGAACACATCTAAACACAAATACAATCATCATCTGGAGGGGAAAAAAAAACAACAACCAACAACTACAAAAAAACCAAACCAAACAAACAAAAAACCAAAACAAACAAAAAAACAGGTTTGGTATTTTTAGAGCTCTAGCACAGAAACAGGTTACCTGTACCAGCTGGGTCACAGCACTGGCTGTGTGTGAGGTTTCAGCCTCTGCAGATATAGTGTAAATCACAGTACTGTTGGCTGAGGTCCTGGTTAAAGTTTCAAGGCACAAACATCATGCTGCAGCTCAGGTAACAAACACATGGTGATTTGTAGAACTACAGCATTTGTAGAACTCATTCATACCTCTGTCCTTGGAGACAGTCCAAACAAGGCTAAAGATATCTTTAAGAGGCTGTCTGTACAACAACACTGAGAAGATTAAATCTCAATTGCTGAAGGTGAAAATTCAGTGCATTTAAAGAAACCTCTCTGAAGTCTCCCCGTAGGCTTCTTGGGAATGAAAGTATCTATAGATTGGTTTACCTATATTTATTTCTAAAAGCATTTAATTCTCAGTAAGAGAACCTGCACTGTGGTTTCATCGATCTGCTTTAAGATCTCAGCTTTCATGAGCAGGCAGCTTCCACACATCTATCCAGCCACATCTTTTCCACCACTTTACATTCTCCCCAGTGACAGAGTAACCAATTGGTGGGCTAGGAAAGATAAAGCAAGGCAGAACAGCATCCAGGCAGAAGTAGCAATCTCTGTCTTTGCCCACCTCCTGTCCAGGCTCAGGTCAGAGTGACAGGTGAGGGAACAAAAAAGCACCAGCTGCTTGTTATGTTTCTGAGAACTTCAGTTTAATAACATTTTGGCAACATCCTGTACTTTAAACATCACTCAAGCACAGGTACAGAGAGCAGATCGCCATGGCTGAAGATACACATGAGCAACTATACTAACTACTGAGGGAGCAGTCACGGTCAGCTGTGCTAAACCAGCATCAAAATCTCAGAGAGTAGCAACTCAGCAGTACAGCAAGCAAATGCTTGGACCCTGATGTTTCAGTCACGTAGGAAATGAGGTGATGCTTTTATGAAGTTGCTTCCAGCACAGGCCTGTTTCATAGTCAAGTAGGAGATGGAGTGTGAAAGAAACACCATCGTTCAGAGCAGAAGCAGACAGATTGGTCCTCTAATCTCACCTGTCTCCTTTGGCTGCCATCACTTGGACTGAGAAGGAGCAAAGCTGCCCTAATGGGAGAGCACACCTGACCTCAGCACCTCTCTCAGTTCTGCAGTGGCTATCAGCACTCTCAGCCACCTGAGTTTTCAATACCTTTCACATACAGCCAAGGATGCTACTCCAGGAGAATCCTGCTGGATTCTCACCAGAAGGATGACACTTCTTGCCCGTTTCATCCAGATGGGAACATCAAGTGCTCTTTGCTGCAATCTACACACATAGGACACATTGCACAGCCACAAAGGCTCCATCCAGAGGAGAAGGAATATAGGCTGTGAGTAGCCCCAGGCAACATAACAGTGTTTACTAAATGCTTCTTGTGTTTCAGATACATGATGGTGGATAGTGCAGATGATCAGAAAACACATCGGCCAGCTCCACCCAAAGAGGTAAGCAGAGCAGTCCCAGCTCACCAGCAGTTTGAATGTCCTTTGTTACAAGGTTTAAAAAAATCAGGGTGCAAGTCCAAAAAGCAAGAGGGCAGCCAAAGGCAGGATCATTCACAGAACCTCTTACTCAAAGAGAGAAGATTAGCTTAGCTAAGGTGCTGCAGGGTCTGTCAGTTCCTACCATTCCTGACTACTGTGGCTCTTGCTCCCCCCCATCAGACAACATCCTTTCCAATTTTGGCCAAGATTCCCAGCACAGGTGATGGTAAAGCAGCCCACCCACCCACCCACCTCCCAGAGTGCAGTTCTGCTTCTGCTTGCCCCCTGCCTCTCTCAAGCAGTGTGGCTGTCCATCCACTTGTTGTTAATGTCTTTCCTCGCCAGGCTCCCAAGAAGTTGATCCGCTATATCGATAACCAGGTGGTGAGTACAAAAGGAGAGAGGTACAAAGACATCAAGAAGCCTGAGAGTGAAGAGATGAAAAGAACCTATATCAGCCTAAAACCAGCCAGGAAGTACAAGTTCCACTGACAGCCAGGTTCTCCTGCTCTTCAGCCTTCCACCTCACCGGCCAGGCATGGCAGGATGGACTGTGGTGCTAGGAATGAGGGACTCCTCCACCTGCCACTAACTTGAACTAACCTGGGAGCCAGGACACTGTTTTCAGCTTCCTCAACTAACCTGGTTGACAAGGAGGAGACTTCTCTCCTTGTGTAGCTATCCCTCTGCCTCCAGGGGCACACTGCAGTGGCTCTCTGGGGCCTGGCCATTCTCTGCTATATATTGCATGGGACATTTTTAGATCTGAGATGTGGCTTGTGCTTTTGCAGCAACCTTTTTAACAAGTCTCTGTGCACTGTTGCTTTGAGTGCCAGTATTAATAAAGATGATGTGAGTTGGTGTGTAGTTCTGCCAGAGCATGCACATGCTTTACAGACACTATCTCCAAGCCCTCCTAGGGCCAAAGAATCAGGGTCATCCTCTCTTGCTCTCATTACTCTCTTGCATCATGTTCACCACAAGATGTGGCTGCTGTTTGATTAACTGCCTAGCAGATAACAAGGGCTGAGGCTGAACTCCAGAGCTAGACTCTCCTTGCCAACATAACCTGCAGCTCTCCACAAACTTCAGCTGACAGTAGAGCCAGTGCTTCTGCCATTTCTTACCACTATTGAGTGCCAAATTTCCAGCCATGCCACATGGAGCAAGATACAGTAGCAGGCCTGGGCACTACTAAAATGTTAAGTCAGAAGCTGGAAGAAACAAATGACAATGAGCAACTGCTTTCAGTGACAGCACAGCTAGGTTTGGTGCTTTTCTGTCAGTGAAACTGTAGTTAGGAGCATCTCCCACCTTGCCCCAGCCTAAACCAGCACCCTAGGCCTGGACAGACACACTGCCTGCGCTGGGGCCATGCCAGTCCTTTGGTGCTAGGCTGGCCAGTGGCCACGGGCTGGAGATAGGCTTACTGCCCTCCTCCCAGAGCCCAGAGGGGCCTGCCCTCTCCCAAGAGGAAGGCTGGTAGCTGTTCTCTTTTCTGCTCCAGCTGGTCTGGTTTGTTCCACAGCTCTGCTGGCATGCCCTGTACACCCACCCCAGGGGATAGTCCCCATCACACACTCCCCTGCTCTCTGGACAGCTGCCGCTTAGAGATTTAAAATACAACAAATAGTAAATCCTATCTATTAGCTGGCCTGGCCAAGGCCTGTTCAGCACCATGGTGTTCCTGCAAGTCAAGCGCTCTCTCCACGCCACTGTAGAGGGAGTTACTTTCCCCAGAGGCATCAGTGAAGCCTATTCATGAACACTCAGTGGCTGCTAAACAGCCCCAGAGGAAAGAGTGAGCCCCACTCAGGCCAGCCTCACCAATGGGACCGACCTCTCCCTCTGCACGTCTCCACAGCAGCCAGTTCCGGCATCCTTCCGGGTTCCCAGCGTTGTGTCAGTCCCCCCCTCCCCGGCAGCAGCAGTTCTAGATCTGAAGGTTGATGAAAGGGGCGAAGCCAACCACGTCCTGCAGGAGAATAAGAGCCCTCCGCAGTGGAGGCTCCACATCCAGCTCCACCCCACGGCTTCGGAGGATGCTCAAGCTGGACTCAGCCACGTTGTGGCAATGCTTGACCTTCAGCGAGCGCAGCTTGGGACAGTACTCAGCCAGGACCCTGCCAAGAAAGAGAGCACATGCAAGTTGCAAGTCAGGATTCCTAAGTGCACCATTCATGCTCTACTCTACTCCCAGCAGCCCAGCGCTCATGACTGTACCATACATGCACCATCCTTTGGGAGCAGCACCCTGGCAGTCTGAGAAAAAGTCAAGGGACATGGTTGGATCCCAGACCTACCCTCCATAATATGCATGGAAATTTGTTGTCAATAGCACACAGTGTCTCTCCTGAAGGGCCTGCTAGTGGCTTCTCTCCCAGACTGAGCTCTCATTGCTTTCAGCATGAAGACATCTGACTCTCCTCTCTGGTTCTCTTGCTCTCCCTACCCCAGTCACCTGCCATCCCCACCCTGGCTCCCCACATTGCTCAGTACCTGATGGAGTCATTCTTGACTCGCAGACACCCTGTGAGGTCCAAGTGCTCCAGCTCGGGGCAGCACTTGGCAGTCTCCTCGACTGCCACGTCGCCCACATTGGCATTGACAGCCAGCGACAGAGACTTGAGCCTTCTGCACTTCTGCACCAGGTAGCAGATGGCCTCGTCCTTCAGCTGGCGGCAGGCTGTCAGGTCCACAGCCTCCAGGGCCTTGCAGTGGTCAGCCAGGCTGCGCAGGGCCAGGCTGTCCACCCAGTCGCACTGAGCCAGGGACAGCTGGCGCAGGTTGGGGCAGCTCAGCGAGATGGTCACCAGCGCATGGCGGCTGAGCTGGACGCAGCCCTTCAGCTGGATCTGGTGGAGGTGGTGGTTCTGCTCGATGACTGGGAGCAGCTCGCAGTCCGTCAGCCAGTCGGAGCAGTTCTGGAGTGCCAGCTGCTGCAGTACTTTGTTGTCCTTCAACAGGTTAACAAAAGCAGCTCGAGGGATGGCAGGTCTGATCTGTGTGGGGAACCCAGGAAGAGTGAGGCACCTCCCCAGCATTTCACATCAGCCTGATCCTCACCAAATACTCTCTCCCCTCCTTTCTTCCACTGTGACAGTGGTGACCAAAGCCACTCCCCGTCCTCATCCTGGGGCAAACCCTACCATCAGACTCTCCTCACATCATGCCAAGGCTACTGCCATAAGCTAGGAAGATGGTCTGGCTTCTCCATCCCACACCATCACTCCTGCATTTAAACACTTGTGGTGAGCTCCACATGTCTGCTCTCCAAAAATCTCTTTGCTAGACCACTCTGTGTCCTCACAGAACAGCAGCTACTCCTGTCTTTTCCACTCCTAGGCAGTGTCTCCCAGAGCCAGCACAAGCTTTCCCCGATGATCAGGCACAGAGTTACCCCCCATCAGACCCACCCTATTGCACAACCTCTGTGAGGACCAACAGGCCGTGCCGCTCCAGAGCTGGCTTGTGTTTCTGCCAGCCAATGCCCCATAATGGCCTAGGTGGAATTTCCAGGCTTGCTCCTCCCAGGGCCTCTTGCTAAAGACACTGGCATTGCTGGGCCCTGAATCACTACCTCTCCTCCCCAAGCCCATCTGTCCAGTCTGACACCTGAGCCATTAACGCAAGCTCCTGAGAAGAAACTACCCTCCTTGCCCGGGCATTCTTCTCCCCACATAGATGCTCCCCTGTTAGTTCCAAAGCAGTAGGACATCTGTGTCCTCCCCCAGCCTCAGAGCCATCCAATACCTGGCTTGAGTCAAAGCAGCGTATGTTGGCCAGGTACAGCCGGATGAGAGACTGGAATGACTTGCTGACCCTCTGCAGGCTCAGGAGCTGCTGCAGTGGCAGATGACAGAGAATATGTGGAAGCAAGATGTCTTCCCAGGGCAGGTCCAGGAGGCATCCCCTGGTGGGGGTCAAACTCATCCTCAGACACCAGAGAGCCAGGCCACTGCAGGAGCTGGGCTAGATCACCTCACACCTACTGCCGGGTGCCTCTAGGAGGAACAGCCAGAAAGAAAGACTCAGCGACGTTTCCCACAATCAGCCCACAGGGTAAAGCCCCTTGGCGAGCCATCAGCAGGGCATGTGCCTGCCACCTGCGTCACCTCCTCCCCAGCCTGGGACGTTCACTGCTCAGGCATCCGAGTCCACCTGCCCGCACTGCCCTCCAGGAGTCCTCGGGTGGGGATTTCTACCAGCCGCTGATGGAGTCCCTGTCCCTCAGCGAAGCAGCAGGAGGCTGCTGCAGCATCACCGCACTGCTCCCGGGGTAGCTGTGCCCGGCTTTCACGTCTGAGTGTCGCTCTACTCGGCAGCTAGTCCCCGGCATCCAGTGCCGGGCCACTCGGGCGCCCTGAGAGGGGGAGAGACCAGGTCCCCGGTCCTTCCCGCAGGGAGCAACAAGGCTCCGGTATCCCCCCAGGGTGTCCCCCCGAGGAGCGGGCACTCGGCACCTCTGCGGCGATGAGGCCTCGGGCCGCGAGAGGAACCGGCAGAGGAGTCCTGGCAGTTCGGGGCCTCCGGAGCTGCGGTTGGAGGCCGGTTAGACTCGGCCCCAGCAGCACCCGCAGCTGGGGGAGCCTCGCCCGCGGCCGTTACTGCCCCGCCGCCCCACGGGGCCCCGCTCGGCCCCAGAGTCGCCCCCGAGCTGCCCCGCCGCCGCGGCTGCGGGAGACACGCCGGGGCCCGGACACCGTCCCACTCCCCGCCGCAGGGCCCCGTGGCAAGGCGGCAGCGCAGCCCAATCCTGCCCTGCTCAACCCCCGGTACCTGCGGCCCCGGCGAAGCTCCCTCGGTCCGTCCATCCCGCCGCGCCGCACCCGCCCGGGACACCGGCGGCCGCCCGTGACGTCACGGCGCCGGGCGGAAGTGCGCGCGCCGCCGCCCCGCCCCCAGCCCGCGCCCCGGCGGCGGCGCTCGCGGTACTGGGGCGGGCCTGGAGGGGCCGGGGGGGCGGGAGCGGGGAGCCCTCGAGGCTGCTGGGCCGGAGCACCGGGCGGGTGGGGCACGGCGCTCACAGGTCCCGCTGGTGTCCCAGCGGCTCCTGCAGGTGGCTCCCAGCGGCACGGCTCGGCGCGCACATCGGCCCTGGTGCCCCGGCTCCCCAGGCGCACCCGCTCCCCCGGGCGCACCGCCTGTCCCAGTTCCTCAGTTATCCCAGTTCCCCAGCGCACACCAGATCCCCAGTGCGCACCAGTTCCCCATGGCCCCAGCTCCCCGGCGCGCACCTGTGGCTGCAGCCCCGCGGCTCCCCCGGTTCCCCCGTGCGCAACGCCTGTCCCAGTTCCTCAGTTGAACCGTCTCCCCAGCGCGCACTAGGTCCCCAGCGTACACCAGCAGCCCCCGTTTCCCGTGGCCCCTGTTCCCGGTGCACACCGACTGTCCCCGTTCCCCACGGCCGCTGTTCCCGGTGCACACCGGTTGTCCCTGTTCCCCAGGGCCGCTGTTCCCGGCGCACACCGGCTGTCCCCGTTCCCCATGGCTGCTGTTCCCGGTGCACACCGGTTGTCCCTGTTCCCCAGGGCCGCTGTTCCCGGCGCACACCGGCTGTCCCCGGTTCCCGGTCCCAGCGCATCCCCCAGCCCCGCCGGGCAGGTGGACGCGCATGCGCATTGCGGCGGCGCTGTCCGTTCAGCACCACGCGGAGCCGGGACCCGCCGGACCCGCCGCTGCCGGTGAGCGACGACCCCGCCCCCGCCAGACCCTCCTGGCCACCCTCCCGGCTCTCTGCTCTCCCAGCGGGCTATGCCACCCCTCGCCCGCCCGCAGGAGCGGCAGGACCCCCGGGAAAGGCCGGTGCCTGGGGCTTACCGTCCTCACGGCACCCCCTGACCGGCAGCCGCTGGCCCCGCTCCCCCGCCGGTACCGGGTTACCCCCCCTCCGGGGCCGCCCGCGGCCCGCCCGCCCAGCCCGCAACCTCCCGCTTTGCCAGCCTACTCCCCCCGCCTCGCTCCCCGCCGGTGCCCCGTCCGCACCTGCAGCCCTGGGGAGTGAGCGGCGTCCGGCCCCTCGCCCGCAGCCCCCGAGGGGAACTGGCCCGGGCTCCTGCCCGCGCGGTTGCCATAACGACTCCGCAGAAACCGACGCTGCTCTTCCCTCCCCGCTGCCGCTTGCGGAGCGGGCACCCCCCGCTGGTGCGGCACTCGCACACCACAGCCCCTAGATAGCCCTGGGCAGGTGACCCCATCTCTGGCTCGGATCTGAGCCCCGCCGCCCTGTGCAGCATCAAGCTTCTGATCACTGCTGGCATAGGCACTATAAAAAATCCACCTGGCAAAAGAGCAGGACGCACATATAGTGAACGAGTCCCAAATACCCGGTCCCGAGTTCCCTGGAAAGCAGTAACCTGTCTATGCAACCTGGTCTGCTCATTCCCTCACAAGGCGGAAGCTGGTTTGCAGAAAGGTTTTCTCTCCCCAGTGCCTGTCCTCTGGGGGAAGCTACCCACTCTGTCTACCCCGGACATGCGGCTCCCCGAGTTAGCACAGTACATTTCTCACTTGCAGAAGGACAACCAGTGCAGGGATTTTAAATTTTATATGGGAGTTGAGAATGCCCCCGGCCATGTCCTGGGACAGCCCTTCCTTCCCCTGGGGTGGGGGCACTCTGTTCTAAAGCTCCTGCTGAGAAACGTGCCAGCTGGCAGAGTCCCTTAATATTCCCCCTCTAAGTGAATGACTGTGGCTGAAGCTGGCTACAAGGAGGGATTTTGAAATAGTGGTCTTGATCTGCAGACAAGGTGAGGGAGCACCAGTGAACGAGAGATTGCAATGCTCAATTACATCTGACCTTTGCTGAAGGCTTTCTGTGCCAAAACAGACCTGGCTGGGAGCCTCCAGCTTTTGTTGAGTCCTTGCTTGAAGGAACTGTGCTGCGGATTGCTTGTTATCCTTCCTGAGCAATATGTGTGGCAAGTGGGACCTGCTCTGCTCCCACACTTACCTCTGTTTATTTTTTTCATTTCATCTGATCCAGCTGGGCTGGCTGAGTCACTTCCGCAGGAGCCTGCTGGTAGCAGGGCTCAGAGGCAGGCAGAGAGTCAGCCCAGGCAGACTCTGGGTACCACAATGAAGTTGGGAGGCACTGTTATTTTAGAGGCAGAAGTGAGACATGGTTGTAATTGTTCCGCCTCCATGGTATCCCAACCCTTTCCTGGCTTGTGCTGCACATGCAGAAGGAGAAGACTCTCCTACCTTTAAGACTTGGTGCCAAGGCAGAGCCTCAAGGTTTGGTTAGTGCAGGGCCATCTTCACTGAGACACTCATGGCACCACTGAGGAATCATGCTTAATCCAGCTCACTTCAGCCTGCTTGCAGGACAGCATTCACTGTGCCAGGGCTGGAGGACTGCTGCCTCTCAGGCTGTACTGACTTTTTTTTCAGGTGCAGCTCTCAGGGTCAGTATTGCCCTGGGAAACAATGAACAGCTCTTGGATCCCGCAGCCTGAAAACTGGTTTCCTGACTCACCACCACAGCAAGCGCAGTGGGGTGCTTATTCTGACAACCCTCTTTAGCTCCTGAGTTCAGTGCAGCCCTGATTTTGCTGTCTCAACAGTTAGAGGAATGCAAGCAAGGTGGGAAAGAAAAGGGTAAACATGCCAGCTGTGTCAGGGTATAGCAAGGGTGACTGCCTCTGAAAGGGCAGGGCCTCCCCAGACACAAACCAGTCATTCAGTACCTGCCCAATAGGGGCAACTGAGTCAGGCCCAGCCTCATGATCAACAGGCAGGGTAATGATGATGGGGCAGGGCTGAGGTCCACCTAGGACGCCAACCTACAGGGGAGAGTCCAAATCAACAGTGCCCACAGCCTAGCATAAGAACAGCTTAGCTAGGCTAAGCTGGAGACCAGTGCTCCTATAACACTTAATGGAAGATAAGAGCCCCAGGCTGATCTTAAACAGAGCCACTGGGCCTATAGGCAGGAGTGGTGGAGGCTCCAGGGGCAGCTGGTTAGAGCCACTAAGGTTTATAAGTGTCCCAAGAGCCCTGAAACTGTTGGCCTGTGGGAGAATTGATAGGCAGGCAGGCAGGCTACAGCTACAGCTACACCTTCTGAGGCGTACGTACTAGGTACTAGGAATTACGGACACTTCCCAGCTGTGAAATGTGAAATGTTCAGATTATTCTCTTTCTTCTCACCAGGTTGTTTGCAGATGCAGAAAGATTATCAGAGACTGTTACTGTATTGTAGAGGTGTATGCTGAGACACAGCTTTACACCATCAGGATGTCCAGTGAAGCCAGAAACTTAGGACTACAATGGTAAGGATCCCAAACCACTACTGGTTTTACACTCATGTCTGTAAAGATTTTCTGTGTGCAGAGTGATTGTGATGTAGCTGTACAGCACTGAAGTACAGGGAGTGGGGGGTGTTACCTTCTGTAGCTTCACAGTGAAGGGACAGCTCCAAGCAGACAAGCTTGAAGAACCAGAGCTTTGTTCTGCTCTGCTCAGTCAAGATTTGCAGAAAGCTTCTGTCTTTCTTGTGGCATATGCTCTGCCTGAGGTGGGACTGCATTTTTCTTGTGTCTGTAAGTTTCCTTTTTAAGCTTCAGCAAGATGCACATTTGTAGTTGAGCCATAATACCTCAAACTGTCTGCCAAAACAGCTTTGAGTTGGCCCTGACGAGTGCTGGGTTGTGACACCTGCAGTCCTTGCAGAACAGCTGGGGAAGTGTATTGTACAGGTACTTTGAACAAGCAGGGGACACTGGTAAGTTCCGTGGCTCTCCTGTTATCCCAGTGACCGCTGATGTCTTGTGAGGGAAAGCAAGGCTCCTGCATCAGGCCTTGAGCTGATCTGTAGTAATGAGAGACCAAGCTGAGCCCTGGGGGGAGGAAGCAGATTAGCTCACAACAACTGCTGCTGCAGCTTTCTTGTGTATTCCTTGGAAACATGGGGTGCTAGCAGCTCTCAGAGCCAGGGCATGGCATCTTCATCCTCATAAACATCCCCTGAAGTGAACAGAGGCTTCAGCCAGCCTCACTGCTGTGAGGCAGTGCTGGTGCCTGTCTGTGCTTCTGAAGAGTCTAGAGGAGCAGTTTGCTCTTCACCTCATCCTTTGGGAAGCAGAGGTGAGATTTAGGAAATTGGGGCCTGAAGGGAGGGGAGTCTTGTGCTTAGAAGAGCTCACCTCAAGTCAGGAATCCCAGTCTTTGGTTCCCAGAGATGCTCCTGATTTGCTGGCTATCATAGGTGAGTCTTCCCCACTCATGCCCCTTGACTTTTCCCTTGCATTGAAAATGCAGTTATTTCCATGTCAGAGGTGTTATAAGAGGTTGGTTGGGTTTTCTGAAGCTTGCTGAGGTCTCCAGAAGCTGGTGTTGTCAAAGGGTACACAACTTATTTTTAGGAGATCAGTACGGTGCCAAGCCAATATTATTCCGACGTCCTATCACCTCATATGATGGCTTCACATCTTGCTGGCTAAACACTTTTGTCCTTGCAAAGACTTTGGGGGCATTTCCTTTACAGTTTTCTACTAGTCTCAAGTGGGGCAAGAGACAAGATCTTGTCAAGGATACTAGTAGCTCTGCAGTGTTC